CAGCGTGAGTGCGGCGGGAGGGGGCATGGGGGTCCCTCCGGCTCCCTCCCGGGGCAGCCCGGGGGCCGCGGCTGGAAAGGGAAAAGCGAAAAGCGGCGGCCGCTCCGCCCCTGCGAAGCCCCCGCCGTGCCCGCTCCCGCTGCACACCGCCCTTGGAATGGGTGCTTACAAGGAGACTTTAGTTTTTCTGCTTTAGTTTCCCCCTTTTAACCATACTTTTTTCTTTTTTTTTTTTTAACATTTTAACTAGTTGTCGGTGCCCGAGCCATGGCCACACTTATTCCCAAGGTAAGACTTAATTTGTGTCTACAGAATAGTTCTGTAGGAGACCATGGCCCCGCAAAGGGCTGGATGTATCCATGTAACCTGGGCAGAGCGTGCAGGTAACAGGTGGGAAGGAACAATCTGAAGGAGAAGGTAAAGAGCCTGTTATTTTGCAGCTGTACAACGGTAGTGGTTATTGTTGGAGTCACTGTTGCCACATAAAGCACAGTTACTGCCTCTTGTCCCCTCCCTCCCCATACCATGTTGATCTGAACTTTGCTCTGGCTGTCATCACCTGAACCAGCTCAACTTCAGATCTGCTTTAGAATACATACCTGTTACATCAGAAAATAAACAGGGAGCTGTATGGATAAAAAGTAGCTTTTCACAAAGGTGTGTGTTGGCCTGGGGAATAAAATCTCCATAGGGTTTTTATACAGTCAGTCCCAAGAATGCAGCTCACTTGTGCCAATTGTGGACTTTGATTAGGGGAGCTGCGCTGCGTAACCCAAGTCACCCTGGGAGGAGTTTCTGTTTGCTTGGTCTGTAGGGTGGCTAGGAGAATAACTATCTGTCAGCCTCTAGGTAGTTGGTAAGTCTCCAGATCCACTAAAAACTGATGTTTTGGGCAATAATTTCAGTAATGCGTAACTCTAAGTATCATGGTTTCACATGCTTAGAACACTTATTAAAGAATTGGCGTTGTCATTTTACACACAGAAAAGCTATTTATATGTTCAGATACTTGTTTTGCCCAAGACCATCGTACAGCAAGACAATAGTGCAGCTGAGAAATAAAATTTCATCATTTCGCTTGTCTGCTTCATAACCTACTCAGTCAATTCAAGCTAAGCTCTTGCTAAACTGAAGCCTTAATTAAGTACCCTCTCTGAAAGTTTTAGGCAGTCTATAGTGTAGCAAGATGATAGCAGTTCAGTAGATCTCTAAATAGTGGGAATTGATTGAACACTGACTATAGCTGGGGAAAAAAAAAAAAAAAGATATTTTTGTTTCTTGGCAGTGCTCAAGGAAATAGTGGAATTTTTGAATTCAGTAAAATTTGCCCTGGAAGTTAAGTTTGGTTCGAGAATGCAATGGCAGGGCACCTATTTTACCATCAGAAAGCAAGAGAGTAAATGGTTTGGACATGTCCTTAGCCTGACAAATTAATGACTGAAAGTACAGCAGACTCCAGCTCCAGGAGAGGTCAAACATGTACAGCCTGGCAAGAGGTGGCAATGAAAGAGCTGATAGCAGCTGGCCTGTGTTTGAATAGAAAGTACGTAATGGGTTTTAGTGTATCTATCTGTTACTGGTGTGGGTCAGTGCTTCAGTGCACCCCAGCGTGTCTAGGGCTCATTGTCATGGCTTCACTCATTGGATTGGAATCCAAATTACATTTTTTCAATTAATATAGCAAGGCATGACTTCAACAGGAAGAGCAGAATGCTTCACCTGATCTTTTCTTGGAGAATAATGGGCAATTTCAGTTGATGTTGTTTGCTTCACTCTGTGGAAAAATCAGAATATGCCAGAAATTGAGTTTTATGATAATTCATGCAAAAAATGACATGGCAGAGAGAAGCTGTGACTGAAATACTCTCCTTATAAATATATTCTAATTAAAGTTAAGAATAACACATTGATTCTTATTTATAATTAGCAGTGCATGCGGTAATTTTCTAGCAAATAATTCAGTTTCACCTGCAAGTTCAGGACTAGGCAGAAGTAAAAAGAAGTGTAAACACCTTTTAATATTGCTCCTATGCATGCATAAGGTGTTCTCTATTCAGGTGCATAAAGAAGATGTCTCACAAATTTCTCTTCAGCATTGTTTTGAAGGTTTTCATGTAGCCCCTACACATTTCTAGCACCTCTTAGCTTGTAGGTAGCAGTTTGAGTGTTCTACACATGCTCAGTTCTACTTTTTATGTGCTGTTCTTGTCTTTGTAGACTGCAAACAAATTCTCATGCAACCTTCCTGCTAATTTATTCAGCTTTTATAAGAAATACTTAATTCTTGAAAGAACTTGAAAAAACTCACTTGTTTTGTTGAATTATATGTGTGAGATCAAGTACTTGGATCATTTAATCTCATAAACAGCAAAGGATGAAATGGGTAACTGTTATCCAGACAAGATGAGATGAGCTGTGGAAATTAGTGATTCTAAAGTGTGTGAAGATTAGTGATTCTAAAAGCAAAGGAATCTATCAACTCTAGAGCTGAGAAACAAATTTAAATAACTTATTGTTCCCTAATTCTGCTGTTTTATTTCCATTACAGTCCCTGAACGGCCCATCCCGGGGAATACAGATTATGCATTTGAGGTAGATTTAATAATAAAATATATTTCATTTAAAATTTGTATAAGCAGTACTTCTTGACCAATATGGCATTTAACAAATATTGACATTATTAAATATTTATGTTTCACTTTGGGCCAGTAGGGCCAGATGCCTTTTTTGTTGAGAAAAATAAATGTGGGGGTTTTTTTCTTTATAGATGGCCATTTCAAACATCCGATATGGAGAAGGAGTTACAAAAGAGATTGGCATGGTAAGCTGCTGTGGTGTAAGTCCATCACTGGTGAAAAGTTGTTTTCTAAAGGGCTGCCAGTGCTATCAATCCACTTAATAAAGGAAAGCTTATAAATGATGTGGTCCTATGTATCAGTGTGAAAAGGCTGGAGCATAATTTTTGGTTGAAGAACAGAGGCATGGTGCATCAGTGCTGCTGTGGTATATGAAATGCAGCTCAGGGGACAGTTTGCTTATTGATAACTTGCTAGAATTACACAACAATGTTTTTTCTCTGGCAGGGAATTTAATGCAGAAAGTTTTGAATTCTGGTGACTCACCAGGATTTTCTCAGGATCACTTTCATCTTTCTAGCGCTCATTAAAATGAATCAGAGACTTTCTTTAAATTATCTAGATATTAATTCAGCTCTCAGTTTGCCCTGTGTAAGTGCAGAGTTTTTGTTTCAGCAGTATGAGATGGTTCACCTGAACACATTGTTCCAGTATGCT